GGTTTCAATTCTTGATTAGCAGTTTAGCACATATATGAACACCACTGGTTGTTGGAACTAATCCAGATGCACAAGTTTGGCCGGCCAAACTTGGTCGAATCCAGGAGACAGAAAAGGAAGCGGGTAGAGGCGGGAGGGGGTGATTGAGGGCAGCAGAAGGGAGCGAGTGAACTGACCTGAGCGATTGCGCTTGGATTTCGGCATGGCGGAGGCTTGGTTTCTTCTTCCTTGGCTGCTGTCCCTGGAGCAGTGGTGGTGGCGGCGGTGCCTAGTGTTCTAGGGTTTAGAGAGGGGTTCTCTCTCTCATCCTGCCTTGGCTTTTGTTTAGTGTTGCGCCGCTCGACGAAGGGGAGGGGCCGCAGAGGCGCAGACCAAGCCTAAGTTGGGCTAGAGCAAGCATATTAGATAGAGGCCAGAGCGGTTGATGCAAAGGGAAACATGCACTTGTAGTCTTGTTTCATTGCCTTTTAGGAGTAGTAGGAGGTTAGCCGGTGACGACATCGATCCACCAACACCCGGCCGTTAATGGAATGATCGACCCAAATCGCTATCCATCTGATGCTGTTAGTGAGCCCATTTTTGGTAAATTTCAGAAAAAGAAAACACAGAGAGACAGAGAGTTGTATCTTATTTAAAAGGAGTGTGTTTGCCTTTTATTGTTTTAATTATTGTGCATCTGATGCCAAAGGTGAAATGGATGTTTACTTATTGTGTTTTGTGAATCTTGTGCCGTGCTGTTTTGAAAGATTATAAGCTGGTTCTACTTTTGGATGTGGGAATAGATAAAGTGTTCCCCTGGATTGATCCACTTAGTTCAGTTGTCCTTGATGAGGATGGAAGTGTTTTTACCCTTGTGTCAGGGCTGGGAGTTGTCCTTGATAAGGATGGAAGAGTTATTGCTCTGCTTTGCCATGCTTGCAGAGATAATGCATAATTGACATTTGTGTAAATAAATGGTAGTTTATCTATTGACGATCTTATTGCTGCCTTATAGCTGCCTCGATTAATGTGTGAATAAATGTTATTTTATCTACTCATAATGCAGAATTAAGCTGTTTTCGAACTACTTTTGCTTGTCTGCTTGCGCAATAATGGCAATATGCCATTTATCTTATTATTAGGCTCTGTTTGGGTTACATGATCTCTATTAGGTTATTGTCTGAACTGAACTACAATTTAGTTGTTATTTTGCTTGCCATGTGAACCTGATGTGTATTCTCTATGATGTGAACCTGATTTGTATATTATTCAAAACCTGATGTGTATTGAAAACTTTATGTTTACTTTTTGGATCGTTAATCCTTTAATCATATTGCTTTAGGGAAATGGCGCCACCACCACCACCATGTCGACGGTGCAAGTCAAGGTGCGCCAACAGCCTTGCAACTGGCACGCTGTTCGACATCCACTTCTAGTCTAGTTTTCTTCATGCGGCGGTAATAAATTATATGAAACTAGTAACCACTATTTTGTTTTTAGTGTGATTGGCATTAATGCATCGTGTATATATCATTTTGCTTTTTGCACACAGATCATCCCATGCAATGTGAGGTCAGAATTCAACAAGCTGACCGAAGACTCTATGACCTTTGAGGCTCCTGGGGGCCCCTACACTATGGAGGTTGAGAAAGGACGAAATATGACGTAGGTGGGAGATGGATGGGTTTGTTTCATCGCCCACATGCATATCACCGGTGGTGAGTTGATCATCTTCTCCTTCAGAGCAGAAAGACCCAAGCTGGCCGTCATTTATGTCAACAAAGCGGAAGATGATGAGGATGATGATGACCCACTTGATGAAGCCATCGTAGCTCAAAGAATGAGGTTGAGCGAGGAGGAGGTGTGCAACCTATGGGACATAATTCCGCCACGTGCTGACTTCGTCGGGATGCCATTCGTGGCCCGCCTGACAAGTATCATGGTTGATCGACATGTCATGGTATGTTGCATTTAATGTAGTAATTTGATGATATGCTTTATTGTTATACTTAGTGTAGAGTCCGATGATATATATGCTTAGTGAATCCGATGATATATATGGTTAGTGAATCCGATGATATATATGCTTCGTGTAGAATCCAAAGAACTGTTAATAGTGTAGAATCCATATATACTTATTAGTAGAATTTATGCTTAGTAGAAATGTAGTACTGTCTTTTAATAGTGTAGAATGTGTGAGGCTAATTATTAATTGATATGTTTTTCTTATTCAGAAATTGCCAAAGAGCCTATCTGAGAGTTGTGGTATCAAGCCTGATGAAGAAGACTCTGCTGGAATACGCCTTACCGCGAGGGGCTCCGTCACCACCCGTGTGTACGGCGTGGACACGGATGGTCACACACACTTCAACTCGGTTGGGTGGAAGAGCTTCCTCGTCGGCAAGAATCTTCATGTTCGACAGGCCATCCTAATTACTATCAGGAACACCCACTGCCAAGGCTTGAGGATGATGATCGTCATCGATATCATCTAGAACTACATATGCATGCGTGTGGCTGCTGAACCATTTATATGCCAGTATGACTACCTAGTAGACTTATCAACTATGATCTATCCATGCATTGTTGACTACTATATATGAGTTTGTGAGATTGTGTGGTTATATTAAATGTGGTATTGTCGTTAATGTTTGTGAGATGGTTCTGTGAACTTAGTTTATTTGCACTAGACTTGTCTTGATTTCCATGAATATTGCATCTGACTTCTTTTTATTATTTTTAATTTCTATTTACCTAGTTGTAGCGTGGGGAGAAAATAGGGCGCTACTACTATGTGATGATAGTAGCAGCGTTGGTAGAGAAAGAGGCGCTACTACTAAGTATTTTAGCTGCAGCGCTTGTTTAGAAATGTGTTACTGTTAAATAATAGCTATAGCGCCCTAGCAGTAGTGCGGGTGCCCCCGCTACTGGTATGTAAAAAACCAACGCCACTAGTAAGGTTTTCTCGTAGTGAAGTGGCACCAATGAGGACGATAGAGTAAGTGGCATTTCATCCATGTTCATCATGCTTGTTGTTGGTGTTTGAAGTGCTAACTTGTTTTGTTTTCATGTAGTACAACATTGTATAAAACTTGTTCAAAGGAGAGGATAAGAGGACCAAAAAGGGGAAGATCAAGAAAGGAAGGCCATTTACCTTGCCTCATTGCTATGATGTGTTGAAGGATGATGATTTGGATGATTTGGATTTGAGCAACAAACACAAGCGAACAATTGAGTTGGATGATGATGATGAGGATGAGGATGCATCAAGTGATGACGGCAAGAGAAGCCCCACACCCAACTCGGTTTCATACTCGAAGCCAAAACGACCGGATGGGTGCAAGAAAGACGCAAAAGAAAAAAAGAAAAGGAAAGGAGATGATGAGCTCAAAAATGCTATGTAAGCTATTGTGAAGGCAAGAAAAGAAGCCAACGAGGTGAGGAAAATGGCAAGGAACCAAGATGCCGCGACCGAGGAGAGGAAGGTGGCTTTGGAGGAGAGGAAGGTGAGCAATGAGGAGCGAACTAGATTGTTGGAATGGGAAAAATACTTGTTCTTCTTGGACACATATGTCCTCGATGAGGCGTAAAAGGAGCATGTCAATCTTATCCGTGAAGAAGTCTTGATCCACACAAAAAGCCATGATTTGCGTAATGGGTGGTGGTGGCCTTGGCGCCATGGGAGGCATGGCTGGCTTTGGAGCTATCATGGGTGGCTTAGGTGCCATGGGTGGCTTTGGAGCTACCATGAAGACCATGGGAGGCATGGGTGGCTTTGGAGCACCCCCGGCGCCATGGTCGCCATGGGAGGCATGAGTTTTGCGTCTCTCATGGGAGGCATGGGTGCATCTTCGGCTACCATGGACGGAATGTCTTCCGGTGTGTCTCACACACCTTCCCATAAAGATGCCGTTGAAGATCTTGCCAATATCGTCCGAGCTTCACGTGATGCGGTGCGCGACAATGATGATGATGAGGAAGAATCATTTTCGGAGGAGGAAGAATCGTCTTCGAAAGATGAGGACGAGGCTTGATGTGTCTTTCGTTTATGTCATGGATTTGGTTGGATGAACTTGTGGGCATGAATTTTTATTCATCAACTTGTTTGTGTGAAATTATATGCCATGTTCATTGCATTTTGAATGTTTGAAATTCATTTTGTGTTCAAAATGCAACATATGGTATGCACCGGCGAGTCGCGCGCGCTGCATTTTAGCGCGTCCGGTCGCGCCAAATGAGGCGATGAACGCGCGGCAAAATAGTTTTTTGCGCGTGACGTGTTTGGGCGGTTGTTGGAGATGCTTTTAGTAGAGTTAGCTTCGGAGGTTGTTGTGGCAGTGGCCGCACCTGCGTGTGTATGTTCTCTGCATATATGTACATACTTGACTGATAAATAGACATGAGTTCAGTCTCTCTGGTGTTACTCTACCTTGCATTGCATGGTATCACATACCTTGTTCTTCTTCCTCGCTTCCGCTTCCGCACTCATTCCTAACATCTGAACATAAAAATTGGTCAGATTCCATATTCTCGTTGTATGCAAAATTACTGCACACCGGTCAAAACGAGGGTGAATTGCCCTGGACAAATTATAGCATGGGGATGATGAAAAGCACGCGTATATCTTCTGTTCTACTAAGCCAATTGATTTTGCAGATTTTTGCGTGGCAAACGCCAATATAGATCGCTCAAGTTGGCCCTATCCACTTGCATGCGTGAACCTTCTAAATATGCGGCCAAGTTTGTCGATACCATGTACGTAGCAGACCGCGATAGGCCTTACCCGCTCGACCGGCTAGCTGTATTTGGTTGGAAAGGTTTATGGATGGATAGATGCCGTGTACGTCGTTCGAGAGGCTAACGCTGGACCAAGCGGACCTAGATTTTGGATGCTCTCTCCCTAGTGGGGGACAGGGAGCGAGGGAGCGATTTGCAGGTACACCTGAGCTGAATCTTTGACTATAAATATGCATGCGATGCACTGCTCTCTTGCACAAGCCACACTAGGGAGCTAGCTAACCATGGCCGCCTCTGCCTCTTGCATTTCTCTGGTGGTGCTCGTGGCCCTGGCCACGGCGGCGTCGGCGCAGCTGTCCCCGACGTTCTACGATTCGTCGTGCCCCGGGGCGCTGGCCGCCATCAAGAGCGCCGTGACGGCCGCCGTGAGCAGCGACCCCCGCATGGGCGCGTCGCTGCTCCGGCTGCACTTCCACGACTGCTTTGTCCAGGCAAGTTCCGCATAACTGGAACTTCGCTAACTAATTTGCTTGATCGAGGAACAGCTGGGATTGACCAATTATTTGCTGTGCGTGTTTTGCTGGCTGCAGGGCTGCGACGCCTCTGTTCTGCTGTCCGGCAACGAGCAGAACGCGGGTCCAAACGCGGGGTCGCTGAGGGGCTTCGGTGTCATCGACGGCATCAAGGCCCAGGTCGAGGCCGTGTGCAAGCAAACCGTCTCCTGCGCTGACATCCTCGCCGTCGCCGCCCGCGACTCGGTCGTCGCCGTAAGATCATCATCTTACAAGCACTTACATGCATGATCACTTGGATGGTCGCCGTAGGATCATCCTCTTGCACCATCGTTAAGACGTTAACTGTTGGTTTTGAATCATTCGCGTGCGTGCAGCTCGGAGGTTCGTCATGGACAGTTCCTCTGGGGAGAAGGGACTCCACAGGTGCAAACGCGGGGCTGGCAAACAGCGACATCCCAGGCCCGGGCTCCAGCCGGGCGCAGCTCGAGGCCGCGTTCCTCAAGAAGGGCCTGGACACGGTCGACATGGTGGCCCTCTCCGGCGCACACACCATCGGGCGGGCGCAGTGCAGCTCCTTCCGCTCTCGGATCTACGGCGGCGACACCAACATCAACGCCGCCTACGCGGCGTCGCTCCGGGCCAACTGCCCCCAGTCCGGCGGCAACGGCAACCTGGCGCCGCTGGACGCGACGACGCCCAACACCTTCGACAACGCATACTACACGGACCTCCTGTCCCAGAAGGGGCTCATGCACTCGGACCAGGTGCTGTTCAACGGCGACACTACCGACAACACGGTCCGGAACTTCGCGTCCAACCCGGCGGCGTTCAGCAGCGCCTTCACGACGGCCATGATCAAGATGGGCAACATCGCGCCGCTCACCGGGGCGCAGGGCCAGATCAGGCTCAGCTGCTCCAAGGTGAACTCCTGATTGACGTACACGTCGATCGGCAGCTCGCCAGCACGACACACGTCAATGAATAAGTCCCCAGAAGCAGTAGCCAAGACCAATTATAGCACTTAGCAACCAGGTCATGGCCTACTCGGTGCATGCTGTGGTGCTTGAAGACCTCAAGTTTGAAATGCGCGCCAGGTTTTCGAAGCCTGAGGTTCAGGCATGCAGGAGAGGTGCAAACAGCGCCGCCCATGCACTAGCTAAACTAGCGACTAGGCCTGCAACCTAATGGTGCCCATGCTTTAATGTAATGTGGGAGTATGACTATGGTGGTGTTTGGTTCTCTAGTCCTAGGATTTTTTCTAGTCTCAACTAAAAAGTTTTCCTAGTCCCTTGCTAGAGGTTATTAAATGATCATGTTGCCCCTAGTCTACTACCCTATAAAAGGAAGAGAGAGCGGAGAACCAAACAATCAGACCCATCCATCAACAAGATCTAATGGTCCTAAATCCTTCCGAGTTTAACGCAAAAAACCACGCATTAAGGCACATCGATCGCTAACTCTGCCGCGCCGTTCGAAAAAAAACCGCACACCCACACGACCTCTCGCCCACGTAGCCTCCCGCACACCCGCATCGATCGCTAACCCATCGATCCTCCTCACGGGCCGTTCCTCCCGCAGCCTCCCGTCCGTCGTCGCTCCCTTCGCCGCGGGAGCTGCCGCTGGTCGCGCCCTCCGACGCCCAAGTTGTCACCGGAGCCGCCCGTCGCGCCTTCTGCCGCAGGTCGCCGCGCCCTTTGCCACGGGTGTCGTCCGAGCCGCTCATCTTGGAGTCGTCAACCGCCGCCGCGCACACAGGTGAGAGGAGCGCGACCCTAGCTACAGGTTCCTATTGGGTTGGGTACCGTACTGATGGCTGATGCATGCGGCGGGTTGGGGATTGGGATGTAGGTGGCGCGACGGAGGGGGAGTACGACGAGGTTCTGGGGCAGCTCTCCTCTCTCATGCAAAACGTGCGGGCACACACCGGCAACCCACGCAACCAGTGGGACCTCATGGACCGCTACCTCCAGGTTCGTCCCCTCCTCCTCATGCTCCGCCTGAATCGCGATGAGGGAATGTGTTGTCTGATGCGGGTGAATTTGGTTAGATTCTCGAGCTGGAGGAGGCCATCGCGTGGATGAAGGTCATCCATGTCACCGGGACCAAAGGGAAGGTGAATCACGAGATAACATGCAATAACTCTCTCCAATTACAATACCAGATGTTGTGTTCTACTATACTGTTCGTCAGTGATGGGGCATTCTAATTTGGTTCTCATATCTAAGCAACTATTGTGCAACAATGAAGTTTTACCAAATCAATATGGTGCTATTTGGCACTGACATGCAGTGTAACCAGTTACAGAGTTCCCCAATCTCTGCTTTGACTGATTTGCCACTGTACAGTTGGTGCCAAGGATTCGAGAAGGTGAACTAATACCAAGAACCATGTCGCCGGATGATTCAGGAAGAGATGGTCCTAATAGTCGAGGTATTTGAGCCTCCCATACTGTGCTTGGTTATTACATAACATCCATCATATGCAATTGATTATTACATAATCATCACCATTTTGTTAACTATGCTTGGTTCAAACATTCAGATTTCAGTTAAGTATTTTCTCTCTGGAAAGCATGCAAAATAAATATATAAATTGTGTTATCTGGACCTTTAATGGCCTTCCTTTATATCCATGCATTTTCTCTTCCGTTCAGTTGTAATTATTTTACCATTTTCTTCTTGAAACAGATAAACGGTGCATTGGGTGAACTTGTTACTACAGAGATTTCCGTATTCAGTCTATCCCATTACTCATTTGCTTCATAAGTTCCTACCATATAGTTTATGTCGATTTATTCTACTCATATTCATAATTCACGCGCCGCTGTCGCCGCCACTTTGAGGCCTTAGCCACCAAGCGGCATCCTTTCCCGTGAGGCTTAATTCAGTACATGCTTCTCTGAATTTCTATGAGATTAATTCAGTATATGTTTCTCTGAATGTTATCCTGCCATGTTGGAATGTATCATTGGAATGCAAGTTAGGATGCTCTCTCTCCGTATGATATACTTTATGTTCTATCACAAATTTGATCTGTTTTAGGTGATGTACATGAATGGCGGCAGATGGTTGAGGATTGAGGGAATGTAGATGCGACTAGCGAGCACTTACTCTGAGGTGCTTTCAGGTCACTGATTGCTTTCTACCCTATGCACACAACATGTCCCTCCCTTTATTTATGATTTGAACAGGATATTGCATGGTGTTCAAGTTCTATTATATTTTATTACTCTATAATTTGGTCCTAAAGATGACACCTTCCAGAATTTGGTTAGTTCTGTTCATGTCATGCTTGCTTCTCTTACACATGATTGTACTTTTGCCCTCGATGTTTTGCTTTCGCAACTTCATTAGAAGCATTATTTTTCTAAAAGTTTCAGCTGTACTGATCATGGCACTTCTTTTTCCTGTCTTTGTAGATGATGGATTAATAAGACTGTTTGGACAAAATTCTGATTTTTTTAACACTTGTTCCATGTGCGAATGTTCTGGGAGCACCAACTCCAACTGCTGACAAGGTGAAGCTTCTTAAGTCACTGCCAAATCTCACCATGTTAAGTAATCGATTTTACTTATCAAAGAAAGACCAAAGAATTGGCCATGATGCCATGTTTTAATTAAGTTTGTTGCATGCCACGAGTTAAAGGGAACCTGTTCCTATAGGATAATAGAATGCAATGTTAATAGCCAGGGACTATTTTGAATATTTACATGTAAAGTATCCATCCTTTTTTCTGTATATCTTTTGTGTTTTTTCTTCTAACATCAGCACTTCAGCAAAAGATGTCGTAAACCGTGTAATGTGGCAACACCAAGAAGGCCACCATCAAGGCGAAGGTGCAAACATGCAGAGCAGGTCTTGACTCCAGACTTATTTGTCATTCATTCACAGAGGCAATAAATATTATCTTTGTAATTTGAGATTTTCAAATATGATGCCTCAGTTTATAAGTCTGTTGCATGTAACATCCTTTTTTACTTAAAAAGTTTGGCTTCGCTTCTCATTATGGGTTTGGTGCTTATATTATTCTTACACAAGCCAGTTTCACCTCAATTTATCATACAACTTAGAATTAATTAGAGCCCTGTTATTGAGCCTTACTTAATGCAACTGAAAGGAAAAAACTTCCTTAAGATCCATCCACGTCTTTGCTCTCTTTTCCAACTTTTGGTTTTGTTCTCTTCAACATTTATTTTTTTCAACACAATATCGATTTCGCTCACAACTTAGCAATAATTGCATGAGAGTAAAAATTGGGGTCATAGCAATGGTTAATAATGTCCTTTTTCTGTCATGTTGGTTCCATGTGTTTGTTACATTTATTTAATTAGAATTCTGCATGCCCTTTTGCTTGTTGTGAAAATCTAAGCTCTGCTGAAGTTTCTGCTCCTCTGGAATGTATCATGTTGTCTCCACTCTCCAGTGAGGTGCATACGTATATAGTACTGAGTTTTGACAACTAATAGCTTTTCAGAATTATTCATATGGTTGTTGCTAGGAACTTTGAGCTTTGAGTTTTGAGAGGCATTTATTGTTAAAATATGAAATATGGTAAAATGCAAGCTCTAATGATGAAGCTCGACACAGAGAAAGCTTTTGACACTGTCCTGAGAGTTCCTGGTGATGGTGCTCAAGCAGAGGGGTATTGGTATTGGTTGGAGGAAAAGGATATATGCACTACTCATGTTCTCTTCAACCAAGATACTGACAGTTGGGGTATGCTCTCATTTCTTAATTTTCTATAATCTGGAAGGCCAATTCGTATGAGCGCCTTCCTCCGTCGTCGATCCGCGGCCCCTTCACACGCATGGTGCGCTCGACGCGCCGCCTCGACACGCTGCACTGGTATGTGTCTGACGGGCCCATACGAATTTCTGAATTTATCTGTGTGACTGGTTCATAGTAATATTCAGCTTCGTCCATGTTGCAATGACAGTTGATTGTATTTGTTCTTTTTTGTGTTTTGCGGAAGGACCTCAACAATTAAACGTACACCCAGAGATGCAAGGCACCTACAGAGTGTGAATGATACAAGTTCTAAGCTATCCAAGGTGTTGGTTTTTTTCTGGACATGGTTCAGTACGAAGAATGTACTGACATATATTTGCAAAAGCTTACATTGCTGACTGATATATGTAAAAATAGATATGCAATGTATAGGAACATTGATATTAGTTTTAGATATGGAGCACGAAGATTCTGAACCATGCAATTTTGTCACATTATGCCAGTAGAAGGAAGATAGTTAAGCACATCAACACATATCTTGGGGAATATCGTTATGCCATGTCCAGTGATATACCATGTATATATATATGTAAAAGGTTAAAAGTGAACAATATCTAGCAAAAGAAACCATGCCCAGGAGCTACATAGATTTTGCCCAAATAGGTATTTAAGAACGGAGTTGGAACACTAGAGAGAGCAGGCCCTGGACATTGTTCTTTACAGTTGATTTTCTTCATCAAATTTGGTAACCTGGAGATGCATAAGGAGTAGGCACAAGGAGGCGGACGGGAGTAGTTTAATTTACTATGTGTTAGTTGTTAAATATATGTCCAAATGTTGATGCTATGAATTTTGCTACAAAAGGTTGCATTTTCATTTGAACTATCAATTTTGTTTTTAGTTCATGTCATGGGCACGACGACGGATGGATGTAAATCCATTGGAAAATCAGACAACAGTTAGATATGAAGCATATCCATCTTATTACAACTTGACATGTATAACCTGTGTACAAGAAAAATATTTGGAAACTCAGGCTGGCAGTTAGCTATGAAGCATATCCATCTTATTACAACATGATTATGATGTACTCCTACTGTACTTGTCTAACACAAGCACAAAATCAAACTCACAACACAAGAACCTGAATCAAACTCTTGTAAATCAATATCAGAAAAGAAAGAGGAAATAGCTGGTTCGAACG